AAAATAAATTTGCATATAAAGTGGACGATGACGCTCAGCCATATATAGTAGGCCACGAATACGTTGCAGGATATGGTGGTTTGTAAGTTGTATCGTACAATTGCGCCGTAATGAATTCTTTATAGTCTTTAGGCTGAGGATGAACCGAAGCAAGATCTGTAGAAATAAATCGATCTTTCTAGTTTATACTATAATCGCTGGATACAGTAGTAGTAAAAGTGCTGAAAAATTAAAAAGTCTTACCAGTGTTGTAACCATACTCCATGACCTCACAGGCTATCGTCAAAGAACATTTCTTAATATCTTTCAGCGGTGGGTACAAGTTTCCTTTTTCCAGGTCATCTTCGGAAACCATATCGGCCAACGTCTTGGCAGCAACGAGGAATATATCTTCAGGAATGGTGCGCATACAGCAGCATATAACGCCCAATGCTACTCCAGGGAAAATGTAACTGTTATTTCCCTGGCCAGGATGGAATGTCTTTTCATTGTATGTTACCGGCGGGAACGGCGAACCACTGGCGAATATGCATTTTCCCTGTGAACATTTGAAATTAATTACATTAAATGTTTTACGTTTGCATATCGCAATGCCTAAATAAATATTTTGTTTTTTGTACTCCGTTAGCGGAAGAATTTTATAATAGTTCTGTGATGCAATACCTTTGTAGCGGTATACGCTTGCTCGGCAGTACATTCTGCCTTGCTTGTTGGATTGCTAAGAGCAAAAATTACAGGCTTCTCATTGTTATTTGCCATTTCCTCCAATATCTCGGTGGTAAACGCACCGCTAACTGCCGCGGCACCAATCAGCACCGTTGGTTTCGCCTTTTTCACAACTTCTAGCAACGTGTCTATCGGCTTGTCATCTCGGGCAAAGTGCAGTTTGTGCTCCGTTAATCCACCGCTTGGGCGATTCTTAACAATCAATCCTTTCGAATCGACCATCCAGATCTTGCTCTTGGCTGCTTCTTTGCTGACACCTTCTTTCTGCATAGCCATGACGCATAACCACGCAATACCCAACGAAGCCTGTGCAATTCAACGAAACGTCGTGACACACGAATCCACTGTCGATTGATAATTTAAAATATAAAGTGCTGTAAAGTATTGCTGTTACCTCTCCAGCACCTTGAAAAACAATCGTGTTCTCCGACAGCTTTGTTTTCGTTAGACGAAGAGATGCCAGCAAACCAGCGACAGCAACTGAAGCAGTTCCCTGGATATCATCGTTGAAAGTGCAGTAGTGATCGCGATATTTATTGAGCAGTCTGAACGCATTGGCGTTCCCGAAATCTTCAAATTGAATTAAAGTGTTCTGTCCGTATCTTTTGACGACAGCCTGCATAAACTCGTCCAGAAATTCGTCATATTCCTGACCAGTAACACGTTTATGCTTGTGGCCAATGTAGAGAGGATCCTCTAGTAGATCCTGGAATAAAAGTTGATACGTATAACGTGTACGTGTAAACATGTTCATTACTATCAGAAATATTTTCACTTATTAAAAAAAGTTGATTACCACATAATTAACACATAATTTTCTGTATAAGGGTCAAGCTTGACTGCGAGCACGTTAATTATTTAGAAGCTTCTGTACCAACCTGATTATTCGTACCAACATCCAAGGTAATTGGTAAGCACTGATGAGGTTTGATTCCAGCCAGGCCGGTATACAAACATAATTTTCCAATTGGTATACCCATTCCTTGGGCTCCTAAGTCACCCAGGCCCAATATCCTTTCACCATCGGTAACAACGATAGCTCGTACATCATGTTCAGGCCAATTGCACATAACGTCATATACGTGGCCCTTGTCATGTATGCTTATGAACAGACCTCGTGGCCTTCTATAAATTAAACCGAATTTCTGACACGCCAGACCCACTGTGGGTGTGTACACTAGCGGCATCAACTTCTCCAAATCTTCTGACAATAGACGGAAGAAAAGTTTCTCATTTCTATCCTGCAAAAGTGATAATGTTTTTTAAATAAAATATCAGAGTTTCTCCTATGTACAGCGAAGAATGATTGTGGTTAAATTACTATCAGGTAAGCCTCTGAGATATATATTGTAAAAATATAGAATATTACTGTTTGTAGACTGTGTTCCTTGAATTTGGAATTTTTCAATTCAATGTTGCAGAGAAGAAAGAATATAAAATAAAAAGAGTACGTACCAGTAAGCCTGTGAGGTATATATGCTTTGACAAATCATGCTCATAATAATCCAGATTCAAACGACAGAGTTCTAGTTGTTCGTCTTGAGTTTTCACCGCTGCTGGCAATAGACCATGGATACTCAATGTCTGCCTCTCCTTAATTGTGAATGCCATTCCCTGTAGCAAAAGAATTTATTTATTAAATACCGCAATAATCTCAATTTCAGATATCCCGTATATTTCTGAATGTTGCATGCATTTTATGCACCTCTGATTCTTCCAATTTTTCAAAAATCAACAATTAATATTATTATAAAAGAAAGAATTAATATCATTATAGAAAATACTATAAATAGCAGGCATACTACAAATCTAATCTACATATTGGAGGAAAATTTTGTTGAAGGTAGCTTGCTGTCTTCAACGCTGAATGAAAAGCAGTTGGAGTTCAAAGATTGTGACGAAGTTGGGTTTAATTGGATTTTTTTTTGTCGCTATTCACAAGAATAAGATTTCACTGCTCGAATGTAAAGGTTCAATTATATCACCTTGTCCTTGGTGATTTGATGAATTTTACATTAGGATTTATGGCCCTCATGTTCGGTAAGACCGAACAATTATTTATTATTTATTTATTTATATTTATTGTTTATCATATTTGTAATTACTAAATTACTTTAAAAATTATTTTATTTGTTAGAAATTATAAATTATTAATATTATAAATTATTTTATTAATTATTTTAATATTAAAAATTATAAATTAATATTATAAGTTATAAATTATTTTATTTGTTAGAAGGGACATATAGTTTAACATGAATTTTAATTATTAACATAAAGTTCGAATGAATGCAATAAATAGAGATGAATCACAGGGCAGTCTAATATATCCTGACATTGACAGAAATTATGTCATTATTGTCCAGAGTGGGTTAATTAATAATTAAATTCCTGCCAGTGTGTAGTAAACGTGAGTGAAAGGTGGCAATCAGCTGTTCTTCTGATTGACTCTTAATTTTATATCACGGAATATTTAAATAACATTCGATGTTTGCAAGTCTAAAATATTCCATGAACGTGACGTGATCTATTAAAATAATTTTGTTGAAACTGATGGGAGAGAAAGTTTCATATTTTCGATATTAGTGTAAAAATTTTTGAAATATGAAATATTCCATTAATTTCTCATTCGATTCCATTCGCAAGATTCGTCAGGAACAATCCGAATTAATTAAAAGCTACTTAAAATTTAACTTGGTCAGCACGGATATCTTGACTCGAGCTGATAAGATGGATATCAAGATGATTGCAGTCACATTACATAAGGTGGTCGCAGTCGCATTATGTAATTGCTCTTTATTGATTTTTATTTAGCGAATTATATATATATATATATCGCTAAAGCCAAGAAGGTAAAGTTTTAGAGAAGCGAATCAAACGAATGGAAGTTTGAATACTAGAATTGATAGAATAATTGGTACGACCAAATTCGTAATTCTTTAATTAATTTCAATTTAATTTTTCATAGAGATCTTGTGATTTTTCCTCAATTTTTCATTCATTACTAATTATTCGAGTTTTGTTATTAATTTGTTGATTTTTTTTTTTTACAATTTCAAGGATTTGAATATACAGGTAAAAGCTTTCACTTTGACTTCTTTCGAATTTCAAATGAAACAAATTAAATAAATAATAAATACAAAATTACATAATGTGATTTATTATCATTTCACAATATTTAAATATTTTGTAACATAATATAAAATTATAATATTATAAATACTATAATTTTAAATATTATAAAATATTATAAATATTATAAATAGTTTAAATATTATAAATATTATAAATACCATTTAAATATTTAAATAGTTTAAATATTATAAATACTATTAAATTTCAAATTTCTATGTATGTAGCTTTTGAATTTTCTTTAAATACCGATAACCACTTTCCTTATTGTCCGATGGTAATTAACGAAATAATTATGCATTCAAAAAGTATCGTGTTAATCAAACTTTCATACGTCAATTGCAACGTCAATGTTTGCAACGTTTCTAAAATAAATTATTAGATATCATACGATATCAATAATTTATTGCCGGTTTAAGAATATTAATTAATACAATATATTTACGATTATACGAGTATCGTGCATAATGCATCGTGTATTTTCATAAAATGCAAATCCTTTTGAATCATGTTTATCTGACCTATAAACTTTTGTCTTTTATTTAAAAAAAAAAGTTAATAAACCCTGCCGATATTAAAAAAAAAAAGATCTATGATGAAACGAACGAATTTTGGAACGAAATTGGCACTTTCTTACTTTATTTCGAATTCCATTTATAAAATCCGCTCGATATTAAATAATCTATGATTTTGAATAAAAAATGAAGTATCGAAAAAGGGAAATAAAATTCATCAGAACTCTTTCGGTGTTAATTAATCTGTCAATTTAAATTAAATATCCAGCATTGAATTTATTAAGTCACGACGGCTGTAGAGAAGTATCGTAATAAAAATGGGAATTTTCGCGACGATGGAAAAATTGAAATTCTCCGATACGTGTGCAATAAATGTTTTCCTCGCTGCGAGCACTTAGTTTCTTTCTTTTTTTTTTTTTTCTTTTACAAAAGATTCCATTGAGATCCCTCTGGAAGTAAGAATGGAACTGGATAGCACCCAGGGTCAAAGCACTCGTATAGTACTTTTCCATCGGCAAACCGAGGTCATTGACAATGCTTTAAACGTTTCAGACTAGACCAATCGCGTCGACCGCATCAATTGACTTTTATTAATTATATAATAGAAACCTACACCTTCCGTTCTAAAGGTCTTTTCCTTTAGAAACCAATCAACGATGGCCGCGAATCGATGATTGTTCTCAACATCGAACCAAACATTTAAACGTCACAAAACTTACGCAAAAGTGTTTTACATTGCAAATAGATACCGCGGTTTACATCTGTACTTTGCTTTATAACGTTTATACATTTTTTTGTTTTTTTTTTTTTTTTCGCGGAAATATAGACTATACATATGCGCAATCTATATTGCTTATATATAGTACTCGAAAATGCATTAGCAATGTGTATAATAGAATATTTGCTCATCAAGTTGAGTAATCAGACTTCGTTGATTCGCAATTAATATATAAAATTTCATGATAAGACAAAGAATCTTTCAATATCTTTTAATATTAAATTCCTCTGACTGCATTACATTATAAGTTAAAAAAATTGTACTAGTTCACTTCATATATGAATAAAAAAATCATATATATATGTTCTTCTTTTTAAATCATTAAATAATTGGAAATCTTAGGGGGAAAAAAATCTTTCAATGTTTGAATTTGAATATTCTGATTCTTGTAACTATAATACGTGTAATTTAAAGATTTAAGTCGTTTTAAATTAAAAATTCTTAATTAATTATAAATCCTTAAATATTAAATTTCTGACCACATACTGTACCACAATATACTTGAAAATATTTTGCTGAGTGAAATATACAAATAATACTTCCTTAGAAATCCTTAATTAATTATAAATTTCTAGAAAAGAAATATTTCTTAAGATATTCTTTTAAGTTTCAGTAATTACCCCCTGAAAAAAAAAAAACAAGTATCTCTCGATATATCAAACTGCTTGCTGTATCTAATCTAATTAGAGTTACAGCTTGGCTATGTACACATTGTCTATCATTAAATCTACTGCATACCTATACGTTGCATCAGCAACATTTCATCCATTAGATTATATAACCAATACTTTGTCTTGAGGTTCAACAAACGTGGTGGCAGGCCACATTTTTATCCTTTTACGTAATCAGCGTAAGTTTCATTAAAGTAGCGGAAATTTTTCGAAAATTTCGCGAAGAAACAATATTCAAAGAGGTGAAGAGAGGCGGACCTAAACGAAAAAATGATTTTTTGATATATCTGCTCGAGATCTCCTAATCTTATCTTTAGTTTGATCACAAATATGTATTTGCGAATCGAAATGCAAAGTGCTGAAACTCTACATGAAAAGAATGTGAAGTGATAGAAGATTGGCATGTAAATCTTCCCCGGATCTACGTATATCGGATCGGATGATATTTCACGAACGATCTTTGACACTTGGTCGCTCGCATAGAAACTGCAGAATGTTCACAGAGTAGTTTTATGCAAAGAGAGTAGAAAATATATCGTGCTTTGTTTAACAATGCGAGGTATGATGAGAAGAAAAAAAGATCGTATTTAGTTTCATTGAAACTTATTCATTATTGAAATAAACGCTACAGGAAGAGAATGTTTTAGAATAATAGTATGCTAATAATAAATACTTAAGAAAAATAATAAAATATGTATATTAAATACCATGTTAAAAATATCAAGACAAGATTAGTCCAGTGCATTTTTCAAAATGATTTATCACATATGTTTCGATCTCATATATTTATATATATATTTTACATATATTTTCATATATATTTCAAAATCACGTGACTCGGAAATTATATGCCTGACGTCTTGTCTCTAAAAATTCGATTATTATCATTACTATTCTTCATAGCTATTCAAACAACTAGCTATTATTGTTTAAACACTTGTAACAACATTTAGATACCTAGGTTTTGGAGTAACACTCATATTTTTTCAATGTGAAATTTTTATAAAACAGATATCGTATAAACCGATTATATCGAGATACAGATAGCAGATTAAAGATTAAGTTGTACAAGACTCTAATCAATTATAATACCTTCCTTTTGCAAGTAAACAAAGTTCCACGTACGTCTACAAGTAAATTAAATATACCGTGATTTTTCAACCAATTGCGGTCGACCATACAACAACAGTTTTGAAATGAAAATTGATCAGTATCAGATAATTAGAATTTCAAGAATAGTGAAAATGAGGTTGTATATTTTTCAAATAAGATCAGATTTTTTTAAATATCGTGAGTATTCCAGTCGAAAATAGTATTCCTTATACTTTTTTTTTTTTCTTTTTTGTCAGACGGCCGCGAATGACTGAAGAACCGTCGCGTCGCTACGATTCTTCGAACGAAAAATTCTCTTCCAAAACAATGGCTCGATTCAAAATAATTCAGAATAATTCAGAATAGATGTACCCTTCCATCCAGAGCGAGCAGAGGTTCAGGAATGCGCACGGTTCTGGGAAAGTCCGGCACCAGGTCCCACCAATCCGTGTCCATTGTCCTTGCCAGTTCTCCAGAGGATCCTCGAGTCTCATGACTCGACAAATCCATCCCCGATGGAAACGGTTGCCAGGAGTTGTGCCGGCTAACAAGCGATCGATACGCAACTCTGCAAGTCTTTGGTTACTGGAACGACCTACCCTAAGGATCTTGATACTTGCAAAGTATCACGCACGATCCAGCTGTGCCTTTTGATGAGAAGGGTGCCAGCCATTGTTCAACCCCTTAACGACACAATGGTACACTAACATTCACTCGTGTGAATGTTAAATTTTAAATAATACAGACCGTGTGCGAGACTGCTCTCAATTCTCGTTCATCATTGTTCGTCTTTATACGTTATATTTCACGTACACATTTCTATACGTTTGACATTGTTCAATTGTTCAATACAGAATTCTTTGTTCGTTAGATGCGAGAACGTATATGAAGCGTTCACGAGAGAAGAATTCAATGTTTTTTTTTTTTTTTTTTTTTTTTTTGCTTGTCTCTGTACCTGGCTCTTTGCTAGAATTTTCTGAATTTTACATTTATTTTGATTTGTAAAAAAATATGAAGTTGCGATATTGTTTGTGTATTGCACTGCGTACTTTTGAGAACGTAATTTAAGAAATAAAACCTCGATGGAAAATTATTTTGTCTACCATACTTTGAATATATTTCTGCAGTTTCAAAAATCTCCAATAAATATGTACGATAAAGATCAACGATATATTAACAATTATTGATTACGAACAAACAATCAATGGTCAATTAAATTAAACACCACATTACAAATAAAGTAATGTTCAATTTCGTAAATAACTATCCCTCTCACAAAGTATCGTAAGTTTTCAAAAAATTGACGGTAAGGCAATTCGCGAAGCAGTTGCATTTGTTATTATCCCCTATCTTCTGTCAGCTGATTCATGAACGTTTGGTCGAGTGATTTTTGTATAATAACAAGGGAAAATATAGAGGAATGACGAGAGAGATACCGGAAATATCGACGAATCGTGTTTCTTCAACACATTAAAAATTCAGTTCATTCGAGTTCATCGCGTGTAGATGAAAATAGTAGGGAAAATTTGTTTGAAGTCGGAGACTGCGATTGAAGAATTGTAAGAATCGAGGGACTTTATTAATAGATTATTAACAGATCATTCTGTCGGTCCTGAAATTCTCTTTGAATGCGAAAGAATGCTTAAGCTAATACATTCACCGCCACGCGAAAATTTACATGCTTTATGTATAAAACGAAGTATTCAGTTTTTAAATAGTAAAACACATCACAATGAAAATTCAATGAATGTACATTTTATAGCATCATTCTAGCTATGCGTGTTATTTAAAATATTTTTATCGACGATTTAATCGTTCTAAAATATTTAAAAAATATATATATATAATAGGACTATGGCACTTGTTAATATGCATTATGCAGTAAAGACATAAACATTCAGAATGATAATATATGTAAATATCTACATACCCTTCGATGTACATTTCTATGTATCCTGATTTAGATTTTGAATATTTTTAAGCCCTCAAAATGGACGAAAATTTTTTAAACAATTTTCCTTCAAAATACAACTCTAGATGTGAAAATTTTATTTTGAATATCATTTTATACTCTATCTTTTTAATTTCTTTCTAAACTTCTATATTTCTCCAAGGAGATTTCTCTAAAGATTTTACAAAAATTTTTCAAAGACTTTACAAAGTTTATTAAAAAAAACGACGCACTCTGTTTGTACTAATATTCAGAATGTCTCATTCTTAGTACTGTATAGTATTATATAACTTCAAGTTTTATGTCAATGTATTTTCGTACTTCTTATCTTTTTCTTTATCATGGTGCTATTATGTTTTATCACAATGTCATTTTGCTATGGGAATCAATGATAAGTCTTATCATTCCAAATGAAAAATTGCGAGTGTACTTGTACAAATAAAAGAACGTTAATTTCGATTATAATTTATCTATTTGTAGTAGAATCATTTCTGTTCTTTTCATGACTCAATTATCTATCCACTTTTCATTCTAACGTTAAAACAGTCGTTGGTTTTCTAACAACAATGTTTCAACAAATTTCATCATTTTTCATTAGTATTATTAGAAGCATTAAGGACTTAATAATTTTTTTTTATCCGTCACACGGATATTAAAATACATCTTTCACAGAATGAGAAGATATATATTTTTATCTATTAATGCATTCTCTATCAAATCACTTTAAGTGAATTTTTCATACGGTCTAATCATTTTTATCACTTTGTTTGGTTCCTTTTATCAAATTATAAATTATAAATTACTTTTCTTTCCTCGTTTTATCTTCATGCTTAAAATATTGTGCCAATTAGTACGATAGAATTTCGTTCATTTGATTTATTGCAAAAAAGTATCTGATTGACTTATTTGGACGTGAAATTTGTGATCTCTTTACAATTGTAGTTCGGATTGTATACGACAAATTATTAGTTCGTATAAATGGAATTCTACTTCAATCGAGATTTCATATCTATTTTAATAAATTCGTTTTTAAATCTTCCAAACCCATGAAATATCTAATAAAAAAATTCACTCGTGGTGAAAAAAAAAAAAAAAAATTAACAAAAGAAGAATTTACTGCCGATAATGACGTGGTACACAAACTGATGTGTCAAATATTTCAAATTCGAATTCACTTGGACATTCCACGAATAATTATTTTTTCAAAAGGAAGCCTATTGAATTAAATTTCAATGATGAAAAGGGAGAAGAAAAATTGTGAATGATCATTCTTCTCTACGATCTCATATTAAGCAAGTCTTTGTTCATAAATTTGTTAGGAGTTATTGTTATCGTGATAATGAGCGCCGATAATTTAAAAGTCTTGGGAAAACCGGGCTTTTGAAAGTGATAGAAAAAACGTGATATCGTTTAAGGTCTGAAATTTCAATAAAAAGATACGTTATTTCTTTTAATCGTTCTTTAAAGAACTGCTAACCGCGAAATTCCCAGTAAATTTCGTAATCGCGATCGGACGTTTCCGTACGGAACATTAACGTCCACTTTGCACAGTCATTCAGAAACTTATTTTAGTCTGGGCAATGCCACTACAAATCGCGCCGTGTTTTAAACATAATCGTGTTCCAAAGCTGAGAAATTCGCTGAAATTCGTTCCGCTTGCAATTCTTTGAGATAACAATAGTTGCGTAATATTTAACTACATGTGCTTTCTCAACGTTTGCATTTTAATAATATATGAATTTTAAGACATGAAAACATAAATTTCCCATTTTTTCCCATTTTTTTCCCATTCCTCCATATTTTTACAATTTGAATAACTAACCCAAATGTAACTGGAATTAATGTTTGTAAATTTCATTTTTAATAAAATATTTCATAAAGATTCATTTTAAATTTAAATTTTCATTTAGAAATACGAACATTAAAGTATAAGAACGCGAGCATTCTGATTTTTGCACTTCCATATTTTTATGATCCGTGATCTCATTTAAAATAATATTTTCTTACAACAATTAATTTAATTTGTATAAATATCCAAAGGCAAGTACTTATTAATATTTGCTTCGTGAAAAACAACTAAACATCTAAATTATTTTCTTATTCATTTCAATTTTAATTTTAATTTTAATTTTTCGATTTTATTGGGGGTCTAGATTAATTTAAATGAACATGTGTCTCTATAGAAACATGATCGTTCATAAAAAAAAAAAAAGAATGTGAGGAAGATAGTGCTTTATCATTTGCGTAAAAACTGTCTGTTTCATCATCATCAGGTTGTCATACCACCGCCTGTTCCGTTTCTTAATATGCGCTGTGAAAGTGAATTTCGTGGAATCGCAACGACTACATGACCTTTTGGACGTAATTATCCTTCTAACGAATAATCATCCACGTATCTCATATTTTCATTCTGTAGAAAATTATTACTGAGTAACTTTTTCCATATTTCCAATTTTTATACTGATACATTAAATAATAAATATTAAAATGACGATACACATGTATGAATGTTTATGACTCATTTAGAGTACGGAAAAGATACTGAACTAACAGGAAATATTTTCATTTATAAATTACTATACAACTCAAGCACATATCATACATACATAAACCAAATTAAAAAAGATCTTTGATTCACAAGTTACGCATGCGCCACATAAAACAACAAAAGAGTTTTCATCGCTGTGGAATAAAAGTGACAATAAAATACAAATTTCGCGCCAATAAAGCAATTACGAAATACAGGCTATTTCGACGGAAAGTTCTTGGCTCGATAAAAGTGCAAGTACCTTGGATACCGCAACAGTAAACAATAGCCAATAGAAAACAACTGAAAGCCATAACTTTTCCTTCTTTTTGTAATTGGTACGAAATTTGCAATTTCATAATTGTCGCACAAACAGCAGACTTTCACTGAAATTCATATTGTAGATGCAACTTAAATAAAGAGATTTCTTTCGTGTATTAAAAATTATAAGTAGCCTACTTTGAATATTCTCTGTACCTGAAAATCTATATAAAACCTATGTCATTCTATATATTACTCTATGCTTTTAAATTTCACAGAAATGCATAGAAATCCAGTCTAGTGACATGCAATATATGTATTTTTTGAAACGAGCTGAAAAGCACGAAGCACGTCGGTGTGAGACGTCAAACTGTCAGGGATCCTACCGGCATGTTATACCGCCGTTATTATACGTTGAAAATTGAAACATGTAACAACTTACCTTATTCAATTTGGGATCTTTCAGATGGTCGAGACCACGTAACAAGTTGGAACACACGGCATCACCATGTCCCCGTTGACCGAGTTGATCCCTTTCAAGACTCGACATCGTTGAAGATTTAATGTCACTGATTAAATGGAGCCTGCAAACAACGAACGAAGTTTAAGGCTACTTGAGGACGAATGTCGGTAGGGTAGAACGCAGTAGCATTAAGGCGAAGTGAGGTTAGGGTGCGGGGAACAAATCTCAGTCACGTATCAATCACATGACTCAATCTGATCGTACTTTTTTTCATCTCGAGATTGCTCTCGCAATTCATTTAGATTACTTTGTCGATCAATGAATGCGAGTGAAAAAATGATAATTTGTTGATCGAAAGTTCATCGTGTGGTTGAACCATCGATACATATAGTACAGTAGAATTTTTCTTTTTTTGGCAAATTTTTATTGATCCAGACGTTGCCTTTAAATTTTTGATCGTAGCTACTATTTTCATTGTATGATTGTATTTGTTTTGTTAAAACTTTGTTTTGTTAACAGAATTAAGTTCGAAATAGGATCGTGTAAATGAGACGGGAGCAAGACGTACTTTTTACATCACTGAATATGTAACTAGTTTAGCGCAGGCGCATGAATCGCGCAGTCGCGCAACTTCGCCCATCGAATGAAAATTGTTCGAATTTTATTGTTTGGCCATGAATCACATTATATATATCGAACAAAAAAATGGTAACATCTACTCTGTATCTCACGCAGACTATAATAGTAATTATAAGAAATAATTAACATGTATGAACAACAATCTAACCGAAATTACAAAAACATCAATGATACAGTTTCTGCTTGAAACGAAAAGAGGAATGACAATAAATTCTACTCTACCATTACATTTCTTTGATTTATAACGAAATAGTTCACTACTATTGCACACTATGAAATGATTCATGTTCACAGAAGCATGACATAATTGTACAAAACTTCTGAACCATTACAGTTTTAATGATTAGAAACACTTTGTTCACTAATGTATAATTCTTTATACTAACACAAGCAATACAAAAACTATTAAAATAGAGGCATTATGTAAATGTTATAAAATTAAATATTTAATTTCAATAGTAAATAACATATACTCTAGTACAAACTTTGTGTGATGTTTTCAATGTACATGTTCGTTGAATTATTTTAATAAGGACAGCATTAGTATTAATAATAACCACATTTAATTGCTTTGTATAAATAGATTGTAAATAATTTAATATAATTGTAACAAAAAGTTAATGTAATTATAACACAAAGTTGATGTAATTACAACGCAGTAAAAGCAGATTCTGTTTTAGTATAGTATATTTAAGGCATACTTGAAAATTCTAAATACAGTTTTACCTGTCGTTCAGCTGATCTGGTTCAAGGTCCCTAGTTTCATAACGCAAGTTATTCGACCCATGAAAAAATGTTGCAAACCGATACTCTAATTGCTTGAGGAAATGCTTCGAGGACATACCCGCGATTTCCGTATAAATTGCTTCTTATTCGATCAAACATCTCTCGATAAACTGTTGCATCTATTACTAAAATTGAGGTTAAACCGCGCGACTACTCGTATGACCATTGCGTCATACTGATAACAGTATACCACGTATGATTGTCAGCGCGCTTCAAAAATGTAAATGTTTTATTTGTATAAATGTTTATCTCAAAAAATTGCTATTCGTTTGAATCTGTCTACGATTGAAAAGTCCTGAACGTACGATCATTTGTTAATATTTCGGAAACGAAAAGAAATATTTTCTGATATACTAACGATTACAGAATGTGATCTGTTTATTTTTATAATAAAAAATATTAAAAAAATATTGTCTTTTGTGCTTTATATATTGTAAATTTATAAATTTTAAATAATATATGCATATTTGTTAGGATGTTTTAATTCATGAATGTTGCAAATAGAAATTAATAATATATGTATTAAACTCTTTACATTATGATATTTGAAATATAAATTCAAACTTTGTATACGTATCGTACAGTATAACTCAAAAATTTTATCTTCCACAGAAAGGAATGAAAGATTGTTATTTATAAATTTAACAAAAATCATTATATTTATGAATTCTATTTTTTCATAGGCGAAAAATTTTCTCACTAAAAAAGATATGACGCGGCTACAAAAAGAGAAACACTACTTTTTATTAGATTTGACGACACATAGAGGTTATCTAATGAATCTGTTTTATTCCGTCGCGCGAGCAATGTAATTGCTCATATTTTCTGATAGGAGAAAATTAGTAAAATCGCGTGATTAAAAAAAAAAAGTGCACATGTCACAATAAAAAGCGTGATTAGCAAACGATTATATGAATCATCACATCAATGTTTTCAAAGGATTATCATCTCACGAACCATTTAATTGCTTCGTATCTTTTATTTACTTACGAAATACAAAAACACAAGAATGCAAACTGTGTTTCAGATTACTTTTTATTTTCACGGTATTCAAACTTTCGTGTTTTGACGTGATATACCATGCAAGCAAATAAATCAAATAAAAATTGTCGATTTAGTAATGACAATTATTACAATATCTCTCGAAAACATTCAACGAAAACAAAGTGCAATCACGTTCTTCATATCTTTGTTCTTCTCGAATATCGGCTAATGGATTGTTTTTATGTAGCGTCACTGTATTTGTAGCCTATCGAACAATAGCTATTGAAAACGTGAATTCTTATATGTATTCTTATATGCATATGTTTAAGTGAAACAAATGCAACTACGTTCACGGTGTAACATCGCAATTAAATATGTGTGTACTAACTCGATTCTTTTCACGTCAGCGAATGACATTTCCGCGAACTTGAAATATATTCTATGATTAAAAAAAAAAAAAAAAACATTGTGCATCTGCAAATGCCTAATGTCTTGTCTTAATGTTCGAGATTTTGAAAATAGAACATCGTGACTCACATTCTGCAGCTACGTACTCCAGTACGCATATCCTTTGAATGCTGTGTTCCCATTGGCGATTCGAATTTTATGACGAAATTTAACAAGAACAGCTGATCATAATTTAGTGAAATGTGATGAAACAATAGACACTCTTTCTGTCACGCAGATAATGAAGATCTAGGAAACTGAAGATTCCTTTTTGAAATCTTGTTTAGTGAAATCGATCAAGCACAGGTAGATTGCAAACGTGACTGACGTGCACGCAACTAACCAAAGTAACTAGTGCGCCTGCTCGCCTGTTGCAACTTCGTCATCGTGGAACTTGGTCTTAAGCCGACCGAGTTTTTTCAAAAGTGATTCAGATTCAAAGGAGAGATCATTAAATTATTACTTTTTACTTCATGAAAGGTATAATGAGATAATTTAGATGATTATGATAGATATGAATTTACAAAATATTTATAAAAATTCATATCATATGACGTGATATCATTTGTGATGAAAGGATGATGAACATGCTTTTATAATTCGTAAATAGAGGAACTTAAAATTTATATTTTTCATAATTATAGTTGGACAGAAAGTTATAAACATTTACTTGATTCATTTTTTTATGATTATTTGTTGTCAATGAAATATTTGTATGTAGCAGTGCGAGAAGCGATAAAATTATAATTGTAAGTCTGTAATTCCACTTTTCATCGGGAATAAGAAGTACAAAGTCTGTACTTTGCATTCGACGGAAAATTGTGTAATATGTACATTACACTCGATACGATACATTAAATTTGATCACACATTTGAATCCTATTAATAA